TCTCTCTCCGTTCGCGTTTGCGTTCGCGTGCAAGGTTCACGCACGGCGCGCCACAAACCACCCTCGCTACCGACCCAACGAGTAAGCCACATACCCTCTTCGTCGTCCTCGTCCTCCTCGTCCACCACCGCATCCTCGTCGTCCTCCTCTCCCACCTCCTCCTCGCTCTCCTCCTCGATGTCTTGCACCTCCACATTGTCGTCCTCTTCGTCCTCCTCCTCGCTGCCGTGCTCGTTGCCCACCTGCCCCGGCCCCGCTGCGCCGCGGTTCGACGCCATCGCCATCTCTTCTTGGTAGCTCCCGCCCTCGTCCTCCTCCTCGTCCTCCAACTCCTCGTTGTCCTCGCCCTCCTCATCCTCCTCCCCCTCGTCGTCGTCCTCCTCGTGCACGGCCGCGCCCTTCGATTCCCCCTCCACGCCCTCCTCCTCCTCATCCTCCTCCTCCTCGCCCTCCACGCCATCGCCATCGCCATCGCCATTCATGTCGTCCACGTCCTCCTCCTCCGACTCCGACTCCTCCTCCTCGTCCGACTCCGGCCGCTCGTTCCCGTTCGCGTCGCTCTTGTCCAGGAACCGCAACGACTTCATCATGCCGAACACCTTCGCCCTGTACCCCGCGCTGCGCGTCACCGGGCACTCGTACAGGTCCAGCGACTCCAACTTCAGCTCCGCCAGCGGCTTCAGGTCCTCCACGGCCTGAATTTTGTTGTTCGACAAATCCAACTCTCGCAGCGACTTCAGCCCCGCGCCCACCAAGTGCTCCAACCCCGACGCGATTCGATTGTCGCTCAGTACCAGCTGTTCCAGGTGCGCAAGCGACGGAAAATCCGCCAAAGACGACAGCCCCACGTTCGCGATCGACAGCCGCTTCAGCTGCGACAACGAAGCCAACACCTTGGACTTCGGCAGCTTGCCCTGCGCGCACTTCACCACGCCATCCAGCGTCAGAGACTCCACCTGAAACGCAGCCTGGCCATGGCACGCCTGCTCCACGGCCCGCTCCCAAGCCGCGTCGTCCATCCCCTGCATGGTGTGCTTCAGAGGAGCGACCCACAGCATCCACCAACAGCGCGAAGGCCAAGTTCGGCGTTCACGCCTCGACGTCACGCCTGCCCTCCCTCGCGACCCCGCTCGCTTCGCTTCGCTTCCCTTCCCTTCCCTTCCCTGCCTGTCTGCCTGGGTTGGTTTCCCGTCCAGCCCCGCCGCTTCTCCCCGTCCAGCCGCGCCCAAGCTCCCGCTCCGCTGCCCCTGCCCTGGCCTCCCTCCCTCGCTCCCGCCTCGCAGATCTCCCCCGCAAGCCCCGGTCACGAGATACCCGGCGGATGTTTTCGGAGGGGCGGGGAAGTGAGGGGAGTAGCAGGGTATAGGGGGCGGGGGCGGGTAGCGTAACGGAACCCCCGGAGGGAAGGGCAGGGAGGCAGGCGGAGATCGTCGGCGTCACGACTCCAGCGTGGCGGGAAGCAGGGCGGGCAGACGGACGGACGGACGGACGGGTGGACACAGTTGAGGAATCATCCGTGGTGGGGGTGGGGCCTGCGCGTGGACGTGCGGGGATGGATGGATGGTGGGTGGATGGCTGAGAGATAGTGAGAGTTCGTTGGATGATAGTTCGAAGGGAGGGGAGGGGAAGACAAGAAGAGAGAGAGAGGGGGGTATTTTGAGTAAGGCATGCCTCGCTGTTGAGCACAACGAATGCTAGGCATCATCTCTTGTGTGCTCATGCGTCATGGCGTTTTCATCCTTTGTAACGCTAAAGCTCTCTCGATTTAGGAAGTTACAAGAAGGGAGGTCAGTTCCAGTTGGAAACGAAGTGCTGAATGCTTCGTCGGAGTACCAGCTGCGTTGCTCTCCTACTTGTCATTTATTTCTATTCTATTAGTTGGCTTGTGTTAAAACCCTGAGACCAATTATAACAAATGAATTGTTCAAGGGGGGTTTTTATATCTTTTTTTTTTTTTTTTTTAAAAAAATCCTGTCTATGGATGGTTGCAAATTTTGCAACTATGCAAACATCCAGCATAATACAAGCCATTAACCAGTGGCTATGACATAATATTACATAAATATGAATCCACCATATTTTCAGGTTTCAATAATTCTATGGTGTAACCCATTGTTTAATATTACATGTTTTAAATATATATATATATATAAATTAAATTAAAATTTAAGTTTGGTAAATACATATGTTGGATGTTTGCAAAGATTAGTCGGCATTTTCTTAAAGACTGATGTTTAAAACCATTATCTCGTTATTTACTTTATAACATCATGTGAAGGAGATAATGCCATGATTATCACTAGATGATGACAAAGTCAGATGCAAGTTTATGTTCAATAAAGACTTTAAATTTAGTTTACATTGTGTCTTTCTACTTATTAAATGTTGAATTGTGTTGAAATAAAATTATTGGTAAGATTCAAGATCATTATGCTGCCACTGGATTTAATTCTTAAATAATTTTACATTGCAAAAGTTTTGCAATATAAAATGTTATGCAAAATTGAAAATCGTTTGAATGAATTTCATTTGAATAGGTTCTCTAATATTAAAAATTCCTTAGAAATTCACATAACCTATATATGCCTTTTAAGGCAATTGTTCATTGAATAGAAACCTCATGGATTTCAGTTTGTTAACAATCCTGCTTATTATTAGCATCAGAGTAAGAGCTGATTTTTACAGTTTTGTATCAAGATTTTAAACTTTTCATGAAACGGTTCAAATTTGGCACAAGATTCAAGATTAAACTCCAGTTTTATTAAATATAATAAGTACCCATGTATGTGTGTAGAACCTCTTTTTACTTCTACAATATATATATATATATATATATACATACATACATACATTTTATTTTAAGAATTTTGGTGTAATCCTATTATTGCAATAAATACAACAGATTGCCAAGTGGACACCCCATTTCACAATGGTAACACCCTTGTTTTACTACATCAACACCCTCCTATGCCACACCAATAATACACCAGTGATACAAGTTTGTTAACAAGCTGGACACTGATGTGGCTAAAAGATAGTGTCTACCTAGCAAAATTATTATCTAGACATCTCCTTTGATTTATTTGCTTTGTTTAGCCTTTGAATTGTTGATGTTCATAAGTTGTCCATTGAGGTTGTATATTGTTGTTTTTTGGTGTCTTTTTTACCTTTCAATCTCATTAATGTCTAGCTTGTTACAAGAATTGTAGTAATGGTTTATTATTAACATGGCACATGGATATCCCTAAACAATACACAGAAGGCATCTACACAGTAAAAGGGGATGTTCATCTAACAGTTCTATAAATATAAAGATAAAATGTTTTTAAATTATTTTTATAAATAATAACTTTTTATGCATGTTAGCTAACTGGATTTTATCATTATTATTGTTTTATTTTAATTTCACAGATGTAAACAGTTAAAGTTTTCATCAATTTAGTTGTAACATTGATGAAAATGGTTTTGATACATACATTCTCCAAAGGCAGCAGTTGTTTCAATGTTGGAATGTGATTCATTGGAAATGGAACTGTCATGAATCACAGATGTTGATTTTAAGCCAGTATGTGTGTATATGGATGTATGTATATATATATAAACATATTTTTAATTATAAATTGAAACTAATAAATTATTTCAATTTTCAACAACTCATTCTAAATACAACACTACATGCTCTCACAATTATAGTTGTTTTAATGTAAGAGTAGGCCGGAATTGATGTATGAGAGAAAAGAACTCATTTCCAAATGAATTTGCTTGTTTTTGTTTTTGTTTTTTTTGTGATTTTTTTCAAGGAGGAAACAAGAGATTTTTTTGTGTGTACTATGATAATGTTTAAAAAATTGTAATAGTGTTAAATATCCTAGTATATTTTTTATTCATAGTGAAATAATCTCTATGATAACCAAATGATCATACTTTTTCTTTATAAAACAAATTGAACTGAACATGTATAAAATTTGTATCCAAATCATTAAAAAAACATATGGAAGCTTAATTTTATAACTTCATTGTTAATATTTGTTAAGCTTTGGCCATTTCATTTTAATATAGTTTAATTAGTAAAACATCTGGTGGTAAAGATCAAATCTGCTTTTCTACTCGATATGTAAAACTAATAAAAATAATTTACATGGAAAATATCAAAAATATTATAACCTCAATGTATATCGTTTCAATGCTAATTATGAGAATGAAATTTTTTGGACTTTTAGGTGCCTTTTATATTACATGATTTTATTTATTTATTTATTTGTTTATTTCATTAGGGACTATTTTTATTATTATTTTAAATTTTATAATTTAACTTATAAACTCACTTTATTTATTACACTAATTAAATTATGTGCAAACACTTCTTCTTAGACACACAAATGCAAGAAAATAATAACCTGGTTTAAGGCCCGTGGATGCTTTTCAAAAAAACAAAAGTTCTTAAATCATACTGATTATATATATATATATATATATATATATATATCATACCAAGAATGCATGATAAGTTTTGATTTTATTGTAGAAATAAATATTTTTAGATAGGTCTCTAAAAGCTTTAATAAATATTTTTCTAAAGTATATTGTATTAAGCTAGTTAAACTTTCATATTATATTCATTGAACTCAAATCTAATACATAAAGTCTTTTCCAATTACACAACTTAGTTGCTTATATATATATATATATATATATAATGGAGTAGAAATCCATGCCATTAGGCACAAAAAGCAGATACATTTTAATTTTCTAAGTCAAAAATTACCATCTCTAAAAAATGATGTCAATCCAAGATAATAAAAATAATAATAATGATATAATTTTTTAATATTATTGGAAAAAACAATTCTTATTTACTTCTACAGCTAAAATAGTTATTTTAGTAAAATTTTAGATACATATATATATATAGATATATATATATTTTATTATAATATTTTTAGCTTTATTATCTTAATAATGAGGAATCTTGATAATATTTGAAGAAGTGTATCATAAAAAGAAAACATACAGTTCTCCATGTATAAATATACGGGTTTTAAGATCTAATAGGATAAGATTTAATTATATATTCTTTACTGATTTTCCTTAGAATTCGTTAATTATTATTATAAATGTCAATTTTATTGAAAACTTTCTTTGCTAAAACCTGAACAAAATCTTTGCAAATCATGGGCATAACATGATTCTTGGAAAATAAGCCAATTATTTTTTGTAGTCTCTAATTAAAAATCTTGCTTCTATAACGTAATTTGTTAGATGTAAAATGATTAAGTGCAATCTATTATAAATTATTTTATTGATAATAATAATTAAAAATGTTTTTGAAATAAATATTTAAAAATCAAAAATAAATGAGACATCTAACTTTAACAACTTTATTAAATACTGGCAATCCAAGTGAACTTAAATTATTCAAAAATTCACTTGAATTATAATTGTTATTGTAGGCAATATGTTTAATTACATCTATATTTGTATTGATATAAATACGTAGAATTCTAAGAAATATTTTCATAGTACATTTATTTAGATTATCAAAATGATTGTTTTTTATACGAAAAAAAATACTTTGATGAAATATTTATCTCTACATATCTTGACTTCTTGTGATTCTAAGTATACAACTTGAATTATAGCCTTTAATATTGGGCTTACTTTCATATGTTTTGAAGAATCAATTTTTTTAATTTATTAAGATAAAAATATTTTTTTAAAAAATAACATAAATATTCAACACATATTTTTAAGTATTTTTTTAGAAAATATCCAAGTTTTAAAAATTTATCTTCTAATTTCATATTTTTTATTAGCTTGAATATTTTAGTTCAAGATCAGATTTTGAATTGTTGCAAACAAACATCAAAAATCACTATTTTTGAGTTTTTTACAACAAAAAGAATCTGTCAAAAACATCATCTAAACAGTACCATAATTTTCATAATTTTTTTTGATATTGGGTATGTTCTAAAGTGTCCTATCAATTGTGTCAATATAATAAAAATGTTATATTGGTACTTCAATTCTAATAGCAAGCATTATCTTACTTAGATAACCAATCTATAATATATATTGTTATTTACTCAATCAACCATATTCAAAAAAATAATATATTGCTTATCATTCAACTATTATTTCTTTTAATTTATCATGATTATAAATTATATGCTTGTAATCAATTGATT